AGAAACACCTACCCAGAAGTCTCATACACAGCATTTTCATTTTTTATTGGCCAGAATTTACCACACAGACCCATTTAGTTCAAAGCGTTGGGAAATAGCAGTCTTTCAATGAGGCACATAACTACTCTTAAGGACATTGGAGCTCCTCCTCTCAGAAAGAATGAGGTTGGGAGCCATTGGTCTCTATCACAACCCCCATAAAATACCAAGGCACAGATGTTTTCTTAATGTTTAACTTTGAACATATTTGACATTGAAGCACTAAATTAACATTTGCCATTAAAAAACAATTGATATTTAAGCTTAATTTTATTTTAGATCACATATTTATATCTTTAATAATATTTAATGATCATTAATACTAATTTTAAGTTAATAAAACATTGAAATATTAAAAATTTTAAACTACTGAGAGCTAGTCAGCTTTTTTTTTTTTTTTTTTTGTCTGCATGATTTCCCAGTCTAGAAAAACAACCATTACAGAAGATGATTCTTCCTTAACACATAGACCTGGTCCTGACAACTTCTCAGCCACACCTATGAGATTCAAAACAAACTCCACCCATAAAAGTAAAACTTGTAAAGTCTTCAGGGTGGCAAACTGGCTCAAGAAGAAAAGATTACATCAAAACACCTATTTGCCAAAGTGATCTCAGGAGATTTGCTTCCTCAAACAGGGATTTTCAACTTGTTTTTTATAAACATAATTTTAGAAGTTTGTTGGATAAGCATGATCAAAACTAATGTGATTTTGTCCAATGTGATTTTTCCTAATTATGGATCCACAAAGTAAATTTATTAAGCAAAGTGGCAATGAAAATGTCATTTATTTAAATTTGGTTACATTCAATGCCATTGGTTATTTTCCAATGTAAGGTACTATTAAGGTTCAAAGTCCATAGAAAGCCAATTGTCCAGGTAGATAAGACAGAGGGTGAGGGGTTGCTGCTTTGGACATGGTGAGAGACAGTCTTGAATTTGGGTCACCACCTGAGATAGGACAAATTTGCTTACCATGTGTTGGCCATGGATCTGCTGCCTGAGGCTACACACCTTGTTCACTCTAATTGACGAATTGTGTGTCTCACCTGCTTGTTTTTGCTGCCTTTCTTCTCGCCTGATCATCTGTATAATGCTCATCAAAGTTTCATGTGCATGCAGATCTCCTGGGGATCTTGATAAAATGCAGGTTCTGGTTCCATAGGACTGAGGTGGGGCCTGAGTATCCACTGTCTTGAGAAAACCTTCAGGTGATGTGATGTGTCCTGCAGGGCTGCACAGGACACTGGGGCTAGTTACACCAGCTACCTGGGTCTCACCCTCAAAGATTCCTACTCTGAATATAAACCAAGATTTTGTATTTCTCACAAGTTCCCAGAGAGTGCCCATCCCATTGGTCCAGAAATAGTTAATGACTTAGACTTTCAGTGTGGACCTCCAAGATAAGAAATGAAGAGTATGGCAGGCACAGGACAGTAGCTTGCCCCTTTTATAGAACTTTCATAGATGGAGTGTTTTTATGAACATAGATTTTAAAGGAGACTGAATTATATGAATGTCATCTACTCCTTAACTCCTAATTCTCCCTATGTTTTAGGGGAGGCAAAGCAAAATAAAGCCCTTTCATTTCCACTTTTGTTTTTTGGGATTTTTTTTGTGTGTGTGCTGAAGATAAAACCCAGGCCCTCACACATGCTAGGCAAGCAGTTTACATCCAGCCTCTCATTTTCTCTTTGGATTACATAGTTTCTTTTCATTTTTCTTGAACTTTACAAGGTAGAAAATACTCTGCCTAAATTTTAGGTATGAATTCTACATAAAACTCACATATCTCAAATGAAGCCTTGAAATTTCTTTTTAGAGTAAATAATTCATTTGACATTATATCAACTAAAAGTTCTGAAATATGGGCAAATAAAACTCCACAGTTACAGGTATTTATTGTTGCACACTGACAACTAAATTAAACAAAATGTAGATAAAAGGAAAGCCACACCTGTTTTAGTTTTTTTTTTTTTTTCAAAACTAGGGAATAAATTCCTAATTCTGTAGGTTGGTTTGGGTATTTTAGTCCCATAAATCAAATAACTTACTTAAAAAGTGTAGATTTTAAGTAATTTGTCTTTACAAAATGCATATTGTGAACGCACTTCACACATTCATTGCATGATACACAGCTAAATTAGCATATATACATTAGACTAACATGTACATTTAAGTTAGTATGTATATATACAGTTGAAAATTGTTATTGTCTTATTGTTGATAGTAAGGATTTGAGGTAATAGAAGGATGATTTTTATCTTTCATGCAAATAATATCCATTGCAACTGTTTTCTTTTTTAATGTGTTCATTTACTTTTTTTGGCCTACAAACTTAGCAGGATTAGTCATCCTTAATAATTCTATTTTCTGTTATGCTTCCTTTCCCACCCCCCTTTCTCTAGCTAAGTAGAAAGACAAAGGAAGTATCTGGTCAAATACAACATTCCTTCAGATTCACTAGAGAAGTATATAAAGAGACTGAAGAAATGCAGTGATATACACTATTTACATAGTCCTAATTTCAGTTAGGATTTTCAAGGAGTGCAGAACTTTTATAACTGACATACTATAAAAAAGGATAATAAAAATTCTCAACTCTGAACATCTATTTTGAGCGTGTAACATGGTTCAAATAATTTACATTTTCTACAAGTAAGCATATGCAGACGTATCAAGTTTTATGAAATACTTTGGATAAACTCAGAAAGAAATTAAAAGTTCAGTAAGGTTAGGAAGTGTTTAATGAGGCTCACTAATAAAAATTACATCAATTTTCATCTCTCCTAGTGTCCCCATGAAACTTTTTCATGTGAAATATTTAAAATCTGAATGAAGACAAAGAAAATTGGATTGTGTATTTCCCTCACTGTAGACTTAACTATAGAAAATAATTCATAACTATTAACTTATTAATACTGACAATTAACTCATATGAAACATTTTATTTACAAAATAAATTTGTAAACAGCTGGGCTGACTTTCATAAATTTCATCAATGGTGAAATTAATATTTAATTTGAGATGTAAACAGACAATGACTTTGAATTGCCTAAATAAATCAAACAACAGTTATAGTTTCTCTGTGAGACACATTTTAATAATACTTTGAAAATATTTTAAACAGTCCAAACTGTATCATACAAATTCATTTCTCACATTTTAATTATTCTTCCTATGCTTTACATTATTTGATGACTAGAAAACTCTGCTTATGGATATTAATTGTTCTTTTTTCCTTAGATATAAATTTTTTCTTCTATATGTAAGCAAGTATAGAGAAATATGAAGACTATATATATAACTTAATGTTCAACTAATAATTTTGATTGCTCAGAGAGTATATCTATATTCATGAATATAACATGATATTCTGATATATTTCTAAATTTGTAATAATTTAAAACTTCAAAACTCAGATTATTGTCAGAGTAACTTGCACATCACACAATAGAAATCACATTACCTGCCAAAGTTATCTTACAATGGCCATAAAAATCATACATCATGGACACTTTATAAAATATAATCTTATTAAAACAATCTTTTTTGTTTTAATATTCAATTTCATAACAAGAAGCACCTTTCCTTAGAAACTAAGAATGAGAAGACTAGTCACAAAATGCAGAAGAAACAACCACTCATTTTTTTTAATAGATAACTAGTTAATGGACATTTTAAGAGAACAGTGTGGATGAAAAATTTCCATGTGATGTAAATTGACAATTATAAATTCATAGAGTTTGCCACAAATGACCAATAAAAAATTATTGAAATATACATTTTCTTACTATACTAATAAAACATGATGTCTTATTAAAATGTTATACTTTCAAAATAATTTATTTACTCATGTTTGATAATTGACCCATCATTCAATGAATGTTTGGTCACTGCAGCTATAATCAATTTAAAATTTTTAATACATACATGCTGGGCATTATTTCTGATTTTCCTATTTTTAAAGCAAAATTACCAATGTAGGCTGAGTCTCAAGTTCCAATATGGATGTTAACTCAATTTTTGGCATAAAGGGCCAACCTCTGTACAGCAGGGTTGCAGTCTAATGCCTCTAGGGTTGGTTATATAAATGCTTAAAATGAAGAGTGAAAACCAGGATAGTGGGTTTGTGTCACTGTATTTGTATTTGTTAAAGGTAACAGTACATCAGGTTGGACAAATAAGCATATTTTTAAGTCCATGTCAACCCACAGGCATCAAGGGTGCAATTCTTTCATGGAATCTTCTACAATCTTGGCAAATCTCTGCTGCTTATGTTGCTGTGAGCATGTTCTGGTCCATGTGGTTCCAACAGAGGACCTGGGAATCTTATAACAGCCACATGAGCAGAGAGACTCCAGGACTAAGTGCTGAAAGCTCCTGAAAGAAGAGAGTGGCTGGTGGCGGGGCATGGGGGGGACACAACCTCTCAGAGGATGAAAAGTGTGGTGAGACTTGAGCTCATTTACCAAACCAAAGACTGTACCTCAGAATACTTAGAACTCCTTCTTAAACCACTCAGCTAGAGAGAGAAAGCAATTCTCTGGCACTAAAGAAAATATTTCTAGAAGCCTAATTCTCCCAAAGATTTTGAAGAAAATATTTAATTTGCACATCCAAAATGAAAATTCATTTTTGATTATCCTCTACAACACCAACCTCTCCCAGGAAAACTTCCATAGCACACAAAGTAGCCAAAGTTTTCAGGTGCAAGACTACACATCAGCTGTCCTGAAAGGGCCCTATACACATGCACAGAAAAGATGAAAACCGTATGCCTGGACGGTGGAAGTTCTCTCAGATAAGGAGAATTTAGGGGAGCCTCATATTTATAGTACCCCTAGCTATACACGACTTTACCTCCAAAAATCAAAACCAGTAGCAGATACTGCTATCACTTTACATTCAATAAACTCCTATATATGTATTTGCAAATGTTACGCTATTCAGAGGCACATTTATTTCTTCACACATGTCTTTGCCAGTGTCCTAAATTTGGGTTCCAGATGATCTAGAAACTCCAGCCCTTCTTCTTCTTGCCTATCACTGCAGCAGCCAACGGAGCCAGCCATAGAGCCTTTGCCTTCATAGTTGTAGGAACGAACGTAGTCTTCAGAATGTTTATGTTCCTCGTCTTGCCCACACAGATATACCTTCTGTATCAAGAAAGAGCACATTTTATTATTTTTTTAAAAAACACCTAAACATATTAGCATAAAAATGATGTCTTTGATTTACCTTTTACTGTTTAATTTTTACTCAGAGTGTGTCCTCTAATGGATTCCTACATATAAAAAATGCACATGATTGGTCTGTATTATATTCATTTTTAAAATATAGCAAATAAATAAATGTTCCTAGAGAACACATTTATGAGAATGCAGGCTACACATACATTGCACAACTAATAATTTTCCATTTGAACATAAGGTGTGTGTAATTGAAATTTACCTCTGTAGCTTCCTTACATATATGGAGAAAGCTGATATAGGCTATGGTTCCTATGATTATACACTATTATACAACTATAATAATAGTGGAATATATTTAACTGGGTAATATCAACCTATGCTCTCTAATCTGAAACTCCCTTACCCAAAAAAACCAAAGTACTGAAATAAAAACTGAAACAAAAGTTTAACGATCTATCAGGTTGATTTCAATAGCCAGGACTTCATAACTATATGGAGAACTCAAGGATACTGGACAAATGCTTGCAATTTATGATCTGTTCATTATTCTGTCACAAATACTTCACCCCAGATGGTTTTTCTGGACATTTTTAGGAAAGAAGCTATCAACATCCACATAAGGAACTCCTAAATCAAGTTCTGCAAATTATATTTTAAAAACTGAATTTTAAAAGCTCATTTTTTTTCTTTGGGTTTGTACCTGACATCCACATCTATAATAAAACACAACATTAAAAGGGTGCTGTGTTCCAGTTGTATGTAGAGTAAAACTTTTGGGAAATCCTGATTTCTAATTAATGTTTAACTTTCAGGTAATGTGACTGTGAAGACATTGGAACTTACTTCGCCAAGCCGAGGTTGGGTGAAACTGTGCCAGTCTGAGTACATGTATCTGCCAGTGTCTGTTACACCCTGTCCTGCTACTTTGCTGGACTCCAAGGTGTGGTGGCCACCTCCTTTGTTGGAATCCAAAGTGTAGCCTCCTTTAACCATTTCAAAACTTTGCTGTGTTTTGACTCCTTGGCCACCAAGAGTACCAACAGACATGGTTGTGTCACAAATGTTGGATGTCTGTGTGGGGATCCTGATATTTGCTTCCTAAAAATAAAGTTAGAGTTATAAAATGAATGAATCAAATTGAAAAGAACATTTTACTTTCATTTCTTTCTCATCATAGAAAAATCACTTACCTGCCGTGCCTTAGTTCCCAGATGTAAAATCAGAAAAATGATAGTAGCCATTTCACAGGTGTTATGGATAAAACTGTGTCTCCTAAAAATTCATATGTTAAGGTCCTAATCCCATATCTCAGACTGTGACTGCTATAGTTTGAAAATGAAATGCTCCCCACAGGCTCTCATGTTGAATGGCTTGGTCCCTAGTTAGTGACACTTTTTAGGAGATTGTGGAAATTTTAGGATTTAAGACCTAGCTAGACAAAGTAAGTCACTGGGGGGAGTGGAGTCCTTGGGAGTACCCTTCTCTCACTCTCTCTGTTTCCTGTCTGCCAGGAAAATGAAGAACAACCTGCAACATATGCTCTTGCTGCCATGGTGATCTGTCAAGCAATCATGGATTGAACCCTCTGAAACCGTGAGCCAAAATAAATCTTTGTTCCTTTCAGTTGTTTATGTCAGGTATTTTGATTATAGTGACACAAAAGTAACTAACACAGTGATCTTATTTGGAAATAGGGTCATTATAGATGTAATCCTTTCAGTTAAAGTGAAGTCATACCACATTAGGTGAGTTCCTAATCTAATATGACCAGTATCCTTATAAAAAAGGGAAATTTGGACATAGATATACAGCCATCTAGGAAGATTAGACTTATGCTGCCATAAGCCAAGGAAATTCAGGAAAGTAGGAGAGAGGCCTGGAATAGATCCTTTCCTAGTGCCTTCAGAGGGCACATGGCCCTGCCAACAACTTGATCTCTGACTTCTAGCCTCCAAAATAAACAAAATATTTCTATTGGTTAAGTCACTCTGTTCCCCCATTTACCACGGTAGCCCTTTGAAGCCAGTATAGTAAGATTATGAAGTCTAACTGAATTAAAATATGCAGAACACTCAGAACTCTGCTTGGCATTTCAGGTTATCATGATTGCTACTAGTGCGTAATAATCAAACTGTCATTGAATCACCACACAAGTCCAAGGGAAGTTAAATCTGATTTACCATCACTTCTTCTCCAGGTCCTTCGGTATTTGATACAATTAAATTTTGTTGGGCTACATCCTCTGGGAAACATTTCTTTACTGTTTTCTTAACAGTAACACAAAAACATGTAAACAAAATACCTAAAACACACAAAAAAAGATTAAAGAAGATTCTTTTTCATTCTGGGCTATATTAAATAATTTGATAATAAGATTTTTCTTAAAATCTCTTTGTACAACTTTTTTTCAAAAAAAATCAACCATAAATTGAGATCACTTCTGGTCATAAAACATAAGACAGACTATTTTTAAAATGCATTACTGTATAGAACATTCCTGTCTTAGATTAATTCTCTTCCCAGATCCAAACTTAAATGTATCTCTTACTTTCTTTACATTGAATCAGTTACTTCATTTGACTAAAATTTGAGATAATTTGTCAGTATTTAAAATTACACAAACACAAACACAAAACAAAGAGCATTAAGCATAAACATAAACAAGAAATCAATGATGAAAAGTCAATGTCTGTTTTTGAAAGTGTGTATCAACTAATATAGTGCTAAGAGAAAAATCCAGGTTCACCTGAAACTCAAAATGAATTAGGTCCTAGGAAAGACTATGGGGAAAGTTGCAATCACAACAGTTCTTCAGAGTTGAGAGGGAAGAACTTAATCCTGAGAGAGTCTTCTATTTCTTTCACATTTCCAAAAAGCATTTTTTTCAAAGTCAAAATTTTCGTTTCCTTTGGCCGCATTACTTTTCCTCAGTGTCTCATCAGATGACTGTTTTTCACTCACTGAAGCCTTCTCATGATGTATTCTAAGTCACTTCATGAATAATATTGAACACGGGGCTGGGAGAGTGGCTTAAGTGGTAAGAGTGCCTGTCTTGCAAGTGTGAGGTGCCAGGTTCAAACCCCAGTGCCACAAAAACAACAACAAAAAAAAAACCAATTAATATGGAACCCAAAAAAGCAAATGTAACTACCCTGCTCCCACTAACTCTTTTTGTATTTATGTATTCTTTATACAAACTTGAAAAATTATAATATCTTATGTGGGAGGGAATATTAATAACTTTATCCAACTTCTTCATTTTAAATGTGGAGAAATGAGTTCAAAGAAAAAAAAATAATTTACTGCATATTTCACAGGGAATTATTGAAGAGCTAAGCCTGACACCTCTGAAACTTACTTTAATTTTTTTTTTTGGCACCACATGCTATGCAGGCACTCGATACTTGAACCACATCCCCAGCTGTTTTTGTTTTAGTTGTTTTCTAAGTAGAGACAGCAATCCTCCTATTTACACTTTCCACAAAGCTGGGATCACAAACATGTACCACTACACTCAGCTTTTATTGGTCAAGATGGAGTCTCATTAACATTTTGTCTTGGTTGACCTTTAACCATGACCCTCTCTATCTCTTGAGGTAGCTACTATCACATGCATGACCCACTGTGGTTAGCTTAAAAATTTTAATCTGCAGTTGTTGATATGTTTCTTGCAGGACTCAGATCCCAAGTCATAAAATAAGCACAGGATTTTTAAAAGAACACATACATCAAAGTTTGTATGTGTCATTAATATGAAGAAATGCTATATTTTTTTTTCCCAAAAATGACATGGTTTGGATAAGTTTTCCCCAAAGGTCCAGGTATGAAAGTCTTAGTCCCCATCTTATAGTGCTATTGACAGGTGGTAGAGCCTTTAAGAGGTGGGGCCTAGTGAGAGGAAGTCCAGTCATTGGAGGGCATGTCCTTAAACAGAATATTGGGACCCTGGCCCCTTCCTGTCTCTCTCTTTGCTTTCTGTTTTGCCATGAGGTGAGCAGCTTGGTTGAAGCACATGCTCCCTGCCACAGGCTGGAAAGCAATAGAGCCAATTGACCTTGGACCAAAACCTCTGAAACTGAGCTAAAATAAACCTGTACTTCTTGTAAGTTGTTATCTAAGGTACTTATTGCAATAATGGAAAGCTGATGATCACATAAACATCAGTTATCACATTCTAGATAGTGATACTTACATAGTAACAGCGCAGAACCCAACACCATGGCAAGAATAGCCCATTTTCCAAGTATCACATTGGATGGTTTCACATCCCTCACACTCATTCTACATTCAGATGGAACTGTGCAGTCACATATTCTCACTGATAGCACATGTTTTGCAGAAACACCATGTCTGTCTTGTATTTGGATAGGCACAGAATAGTAGTTATAATTCATATTTTTCAGTGGACGAAGAATGGCACTTTTACCTAAGGGAAAATGTCAGAATATGTATTGATATGATCTTTCAATAGCAATTTTATTCCTAATTCATATTCTTGGAGGTAAAAGTTAATTTGGAATAAAAAAACTAATAATGAAACATTTTCTTCCTTAAAAATGATTTTGACTTCTCAAAAAACCAGGAAAAAAATTGATATTACTTTATACTCACCTTAGACTAACCTACATTTGACATGTTATTAAAATGACCATTTAAATGGATTTTTATGTTTTCTTAAAACATAACCAGATTAAGAGTCTAAGCATAACATAATATATATTTTAAAGCCAGGTATTATCATTTTTAGGCTTAATAAATTATTATCCTAAAATGAATACATATTTATTATGATAAACTAAGGCAAATATCAAGACCACCAGCCATCCTGAACCCTTATTGCTTATAAGATTCAACATAAATACTTACCGTCCTGTGGTTCTAAAGCCCAAACTTTGGAGGCAGAATTATCCAGAAGGAATTGAAAAGGTGGACCATTATCAGGCCCATCTGGATCTACAGGTTCCAGAACAGCATAATCCTTCTCATGCTGACAAATTGTCACTTCTTTGTCAATTTGTGGTGGGTGATCATTAGAATCTTCCAAAAGAACCATTAATGTGCCAGTGCAAGACCGGCCAACTAAAACAAATTTTTAAAACAGGTTATTTCTCACTGAGAGATGTGTTTAGTTTCAGCAATTTATGTAATACATGATTGACATCTACATTCAACTAGCTTTCCAGATCTCAGATGGATTTATTACAAGGTAGTGACATGTCACTTGTCCTGGAGGTCTCTGGCTAGATTAGAGGATCTTTCCCGGTGCCCATAGTCAAAAGCTATGAGTTTATGAGGAATGTCACTGTAGAGTAACCTGTTGAAAGAAAAATTGACTTCTTCTATCTTTCTTTATAGAGAACATATATCCACCTGAAAATAAAAATACTTTCTAAGCCTCTTCTCCTTTTCCACACATTCTTCATTCAAACCTTGTATATCTTCTCATCAATGCTTTCCCTCTTGTCTACTTTGGTACATTTGATACATTGTGTGCCACTACTAGGAATGCTTTTCTCCTCTTCCTTGCGTGCTAAGCCCTATTACCTTCTTTTTTTTTTTTTTTTTAGGTGCTGGGGCTAGAACCCAGAGCCTCATGCATGCTGAGCCTGTGTCTATATCTGAGATACATTCTTAGCCCAATTTTATTATCTTAAGAAACTATTCAAATGTTATGACTCATGAAACTTGTTGTGACTTCTTCAAACAATGATAGAACTACTCTTCCCAATTTACTCTGGGCACATTGCTCATACCTTGGCTGATACAGTGAACATTGAACATGTAACACAGTAAGTCATAGTTATCTGAAGAGCCTCATGATTTTCCAATATTTCTTGGCTAGCTATAACTTAATGTTACTACACTAAATGTAATGCAGTTATTATTTTAAAACTTTGAAAAAATTTTTAATTAAATAAGCCAGAAAAATATGCTGTACCGCTACCCTACTTCAATTAATATGTTCCCATTAATTGTAAATGTCTCATTCATCTGTTGATCATGACTATTATTGGCCTAATACTTCATGCATAAATCATAATAAATATTTTTAATTAAAAAGCTGCTCATAATTTGTGTTTGAAAGATAAAAATAATGAAGTTCAGAAACATACTCAAATCCCATCATTTGTGAAAGGATAATAAACTCATAAATAGTAAAGTCTCAAAAGTAAAGCAAGTAAAAACAATCGGTACGAATTTTCATTTTCTTACAATGAATGCTGGTCTAGATATTGAAAAACTTATGTTGAATTTATCATAAAGGCTACTATAAATCATATGCAAATATACTCCATCTTTTCTTCTTAGATTGAAATAACCCCTAAATCATATCATGCAGTATATTTCAGAGAAATTTTTTCCTGTTGAGTAATGAAAAAAATAATTTACTCAAAATGATTATTAAATTAATAATTTAAGGTAACTACTGTCTGTATCTATTTTTTAAACTATTCTGAGTTTTAGAATATTTAGAAACAAAAGAGAGAAAGAGCTGTTTGGAAGAAGAACACTGCAGTAACACATAAATATTTTGAGACTGTCAGAAAATTATAAATAAACCTAAATAGAAGTAACAACTTCAAAATCAGCAAAGTAACAAATTAATAATTGGGGGGAGCCTTTTTTAAAGTAAAAAATGTAGTTGCAGACATTACTCATAAGTTGACATATGCACTATGATTTTTACCTTTGAAAGTTAAGTAGACAGCCTTTGTCTTTATGCAAATATGAGAGAAATCACATTTTTTAAATGTAATTTTAAATATGGCAACCACAGGAAAACAAATCAAGGTTCATTTAATCCCATATTCAACCAGCATTTATCATAACATTTTCTATCACAGTCTCTGTTTTAAGCATGCTGATAAAAACAGAACGAAAGATTATTGAGATGTTTTTTAATGGAAGTTAGTCAAAGCTAGAGCTGAAAATACTCTTAGAAAATTTCCAACCCTACAAAAAAAACTGATGGTAACTTTTCACTTTACCTGTGGGAAATAGAGGCAAAATAAGTAATTGCTAATAAAGGTTCAATGTCATAAAAAGTAACTGGATATCTTTGTCTAGTCCAAAAGCTTACTTCTGATTTAGCACGTAAGCAAATGACAAGTATTTGTGGGTAAGAAACATCAGTCATAGAGCTGGTAAGTATATATGGGCTTAGTGACATCTAAATTTGTAACACTTCAGGCTGGCGGAGTGGCTCTAATGGCAAAAACACCTGCCTAGCAAGTGTCAGGCCCTGAGTCCAAACTCCAATACTGCCAAAAAAAAAAAAAAAGTTTACTCTCCAAACTCATAACACTTCAATAAGAGTGACTCTGAAAAGCATAGTTCTCTGATGTTCCTTAAATGTGTTCAATTCACTGCATTATGAATCTACTTACTACATATGCAGAGATTTTTAATTAATTGTTAGAAGGTGGATCTGTTGTGCAATGGATAGCACACTGGACTTCTAATTAATTGTTAGAAAGATTTTAGATGGTTTCTTCTTCTTCTTCATCTCCTGCTCTTCTTCCTTCTCCTCCTCCTCCTTCTCCACCTTCTTCCTTCTTCTGCCTCTTCTTTGCAGTCCTGGGAATTGAGCTCAGGGACTCCTGTTTCTTAGGCAGGTGCTCTATCACTTGATTCATGCTTAGGTCTTCTTGCATTGATTATTTTTGGGATAGGATTTTCCTTTATGCCCAGGCTGGTCTGGACCACATCCTGCTATTTGTGCTTCCCTGCATAGCTGGAATGACAGGTGCATGCTACCTTGCCCTGCTTTTACTGGTTGAGATGGGGTCTCACTAAATTTTTGCCTGTGCTGTCCTCAAACCACAATTCTCCAAATCTCCACCTCCCAAGTAGCTGGACTACAAGTTTAAGCCACCATACATAACACATTCTTTCTTATTAAGCTACAATATACATCCCATTAATTCCCAACAATGTGTTCATACTCATTTTGGACTCTATACACAAAATGTTTACCACTTCTACATGACACCCCTTCAACATTTATTTCAAGAAAATTCTTTTTATATACACAAAAAATAAGGCAATATCTTGTAAATTTTAGTTCAATTTTTTACATTGAAACCAATTTTCCACGTGCCAATTATGTCCCTGAAATTGTAATGTTCCTGGTAGTGAACTTCACAACCTGTACAAGGAGGTTTATAGGATTCTCAAACAATAGAGAAATGAAAAGTCTCAGTATTTGCATTGAACAAACATATGCCAAATTCTCTGCTAGATGTAAAGGAATGGCTCAGCAAAACAAAAGGATCCTTATACAAAATTGAGCTCATAAACAATCTAGCTAGAGGAACAGAAGATCCATGAGAAGCAATGAAAGTACCCTCTAGAATGAAGACACAACATATGTGATCATTTGCTTATTATTCCCAGTACAGGAGTGCTTAAAAGATGTTAGGAACTGAACACTAGTGGGGAAAAATTGCAAAGCTGTTTTTGCCATTTGTCTGAAGGGACTTGATCTCAAATAGGAGGGGCAATGTGTTCTAAGTGTAAGGGTATAAAATAGTGATTTCTAACAGCAGGGAAACCAGTCTGACCGACAAAGCCAATCCACAGAAGTACAAAGTCATGATCTGGCTTCTAAGAAAGCACAGAAATACCTGGCTTGTCACTCAGAAATGTTTGTGACAAACAATACAAAATGTTCATAAAGATACATGTGGACTAAAGTTCAAAGAAACAATGTTTTGTATTGCCTTGTGAATTTTTCATTTAAATTTGCAACTTTCTCACCTTTATTTTTTCTAGAGGAGACCTCCAGTGTCTATGACCCTTGGACATAGTTGTATAAAATTTTCTCTTTATCTCCTATTACTGTGCTCTCCATGCTTATAAAGTATCTTTTAGCACTAACTGACACTGTTAATTTCTTATATTTTGTTGTCCATAATTTTCTCCTCTCTAAATAGTATTTCATTTTCCTTTCATCAAGTCTGCATTTCTGTGAACTTTCCCCCTTTATCTTTAATCTGAGAAACTCTTAATTATCTCCACATCTGAAACTGTCTAAGCATTCTTTTATGGGTAAAATTTTCATACCATCACCTCTCATGAGAATATAAAACTGGAAAGCTTTCATTAATAAGGCCAAATCCTCATCTTATGATTCCCAGTTTCTGCAGCAACTTCCCTTGTACTTTGAACTTTGACAATCAACCTCGGAGGAATAAATGAATAAATATAATAAATCCGTGTAGGCCATCACAATTGTGTCCTTGAACCATTTAGATTTCATTTTACAATAAAAAGAGTAGAGTGCTAATTACTTAGAATTATAGAGTAATGACAAACCACATTTCTCAGTTAATATTTTCCCCATTCTCCAGCATAGCTTTTTTTTTCTACTTATATTAAAAAGCATACATTAAAAGTATGTGTGTGAAAGATATGAAGAGGAAAGAAAGATCATATGTAGGTAATTGAGTAATGATATTCATGTTTAGATTTTCATTCAGAAGCAGTTTTAGATTTTTAGTTCATGTGAATAATTCTTTGAAAGTGCTTTAAAACTCCTCCCTAGCTAAGCTGTGCAACATGGTATTATCTATCCCTTGGGCAACAAATGAAGCAAGCCTGAATGAGGAAATAAGAAAAAGCTAAATAGGGCAGATTCATTTGTGAATCAGTTCTCCCTTTCCACATAAATATTAAGCAGCTGACATCTTTATTAGTTTAATCTTTTATCTCTCTTTTAATAGATGTAGGTCTTGTTTTAAAACTGCAGAAGAAAGCATCTAAGAAAACATTGTATACTATTATCAAATTATCAAGCAACAAAATCAATAAACCAGAAAAGTTTCACTGCTTACTTTTAACTTGTGTTAATTTCCATGGAATTTGATATATATTTATTTTACCTATTCTTTCTAAAGAAATACAATGATTCTATAGAAGCAGAATATAACATTACTGTACCAGCCACTTTTATGTAAATAAAACAGTGGTAGCTTTCTTGGATTAGGCAAATACTCAAAAGAATCAGCTCCGTTAGAAAAGTCCAAGTTTACTGATATTTGCTACCTGTGACAATTTGTCTCAAGTGGGTGATTATGTGGCTGATATAATGAAGTGAAATAGTGAAAATTTTATGTGTATTTTTGTCACCATTTGAATATTTATTTTATGGATTTCTATGAAATACATAGCATGTGCATTAGCATAACAGTACATATATATAAATAAATGCAACTAGCAAACATTTAAAACATATTTATAAATATTTTTAAATACTTTAAAATAGCTTACTGATGGCAGTCTATATTCAAAAGGGTTTCAAGATCACTGCAATATTTGAAGGACATACTTTACAGAGTAGGTTCAAAAATTAACCTGGAAGATTGCAAACTACTCAAAAAAATTAAGTCATCATTTATCCTTTCTTTAGGAAATAGGATTAATGATTTATTCTCCTTTAAGAGATGTTAGAATAAAACTACCTTGAATAAAACTACTGCTTTAGATGGGTTGAACCCTTTCAGCATGCTCAAATCATAATAATCCAAATCTGTTCTCCTAAACAAATTGGCATACTGTTTCCTTAACAGAAACAAAATAATGCAATCCTCAAAATTTAGAACTTGGCTATTTATTCATTTGTAGATTCTCATTACTGATGCACTGTGTGGAAGTCAATACAATGAGCAATTGCAGTGCATACACTTTTGCATTACACATTATTATTACATTAATGTAAACATTGTTTGCATTAAGTTTTGTTCAGAAGCAGATTTTCCCCAAGTTATCTTAGAAATGCATCCCATAAATGTTTTATTTCTAGAAAATGACACTCACCTGCATCTGTTGCCACTACTGAAACATTGTACTGGTTGTTCCTTACAAATTTTGATTCTCTATCTAGTACTTTTACAGTTCTCAAGTCTCCACTTTGTTCGTCTATTTCAAACCAGTTATCTTCATCTCCCAACTTCCGATACCTAAGTTTTAGCAATCAAATATAACTCATTAAAACAAAGAGGTGACATGAACTTAAAGTTTTTCATTTTGAAAAATACATTTTGAAATCAGTTTACATCCCAATTAAAATTAAGGAGCGTTTTGAAAAGTACATTACCTTAAGCCAACGCCATCACGCGTGTCTGGGTCCAGTGCTTTGTATCCAAGAAGTCGTTGGCCAACTGGGAGGCCATCTTGGCTCTGAATAACTTTCACAGGAGGCTGGCATTCAGGGCCCTCATCGTTGTCTTTAACTTTCACAGTGACAGTTGTAGTGCACATTGTAGGAGTTTGTGAGTTTGCTGCTTTAGAGAATTGTGCTTCATTAAGTACGCCAACTTGCAAAACAATTTGGTGATTGAGTTCATAGTTCAATGGCTGTTTAATAAACATAGTTTAATCAGTCAACATGTATTATCATCTAGAAACTAATGGTTATGACTCCAAATTATAATGTAAAGAGAATTTGTTTTTGTTTTGTGGTGCTTGAGAACAAACTCAGGACCGTGCACATGCAGGTGCTCTACACAGAGCTGAATCCTGCCATCAATATCATCTCGCATTTAAAACGTTATCAATGTTGATACAAAAACTAATAATCAGCTCTTAAAATGATAAACATGGTCAGATGCAAATTGTTTGTTTTAAGACTCAATCAACTTTCATTCTCACTTTTCTTTTGGAAGATGCTGCCATCTTTTATTTATTAAAAGTTTAAATGTTAATTGAAATGCAAAATAAGTGTTTGAAAAATTCAAATTTTTTCATTACTTATCATATGAGATAACAGGAACAGCTAAAATCCTTTCAAGCTAATGCATAAAATGATTAGGTAGAGATTTAGTGATAGAACAGTTACTCATATCCAAGTCAAAAGATGTCACAATATTACCTAGCAGCACCTATTCAAAGCACATTGCATTTGGATCTGCTTAGTATCTGGTCGAAGGGCTCAATTTTAGATTGGATAGTAAGAAAGACTCCTGAAACAACAGCTGAACAGTCAAGGAAAAATTTACTGTAAATAGATAAAAAGAAAAGAGAAAGACTATGCAATATAAAAATTAAAGGGCCTTTTTTGGAAATCTTATTAAAAACACAATTTCTACATAAAATTTCTGAGGACATCTGCTGTCTCTTAGAAATTAATGGAGGAAGATGTGCAAGAGGTCAGTGAAGGTTATAGACAGAAGAATTAAGATCCCTCTAAGGCAAATATCTAATTTAATATTTAATATTTCTCTGCCTTGGTTTTCCTCATATATGGAACAATGAGTTTTGTGCCTGACACCACTTTCTTCTAAGAAAATAAATGAGGGTAAAATAATAGAAGAAAAACTTTATGTAAACCAATGAAAACCATTTAAGGATTATATTGTGATATTCTTCTAGTCATATATGTACAGGAAGTATTACTTTTAATTTCAATGCATAAGCATAAGTAAGAATGATTTAAAACTAGATTGATTATTTTATTTATTTACCTTGACAACACACAGAACTCCTTCATTTGTATTTGGATCTGTGGTAATTTTGAAGTTTCCATTTTCATTTCCCTGTAGGATTGTGTATACAGCCTTCGAGTGAGGGGTATTTGGCAAATCTTGGTCTTGCACCTTCATTCGCAAAACTTCAACATCGATTCTGTTTTCTTCTACTTCCGTAGAATACTGGGAAAATGGTCTTTTATTATAAATCGATAGTCTTAACAATGTGGTTTTCTACTCTAAAAATTATACTTAAAGAAAAAGGTGATACAGAAATGTACACTCATCTTTTGAGAAAGAATTTATAAGTTTAATGCATAGTTTTCTTCATTTGTCCTAACCTGCTTTTCCAAATCTTTTCCATTCTTCAAAGACTAATCATGACGTAACTTCTGAATTTCTATGAGTTGATCTCCCTAATCATCCCCCCAGATGTGTCTCTTTTGTGAACCTCTACAATATTTACAGTGTACTTCCACTCTTTAGACATAATAAGCACTGAGTAAATGTTTTATATTAATGTGTTAAACACTATTTGTAGATAATGATTTCTTATTGATTTCTTATTAATGATTTCTTATTAATGGATGGCTTGTTTTCATACTTTTTTTAAACTTTGATTCATTGGAAAACATTTTAAAGAAAAAGTTTTCCCTTTTTTGAGACAGTAAATCATAGGTCACTAACCCCCAAAAGAAACATGGTTACAGAAAATAAGATATTAAAAGACTAAAAAAAATAGTAAATCAGAATCTGCTAGCCATATAAGATGAATATATAGATGAAAGATTGTACTTGGCTGGAGACACGAATCCTAATTATCCTTCTACATGGTTTATATGTATGAGATCTTAGGAAAGTTATTTAACAGACCTATCATTTCCTTATGGGATAAAATATACTCTCACATGTTCTAAAGACTAATGTAAAGCTTATATGAATGTGCCTATCACTGGATCTGCAGTTTTGTCATTATTTGACTTGTGCTGTGGTATAGATTCATGAAAAAATGGAAGACTGCTCATTAAAAGTTTAGGAAAAAAAGAACTACTTCCTAAAATTATTGTTTCCTCCCTAAGGGAAAGTTTGCTCATACATAATACAGAAAGAGCCCCTGTGGGTTGTGGGCCAGCTTGTTCCCTGACTCCAGAAAAGGATACAAACCAGCCCATTTTCCATCTTCAGAATTTAAAATGCAAAGGACACCAGAGAGGACCTTTTCTTCCCCACCTCATAAAACAACTTAAGTCCAAGGAATCTCATACTAGAGATTAACAATCAAGAAAATGCTGAACCAGTGAACTGCATCAAGGGTGAAAAAGTCTTAGGCGGCCAAGCACATGGTGAATGATAACTATTTAACCCAAAATGTGATCTCACAGAGCCACCAAATTCAAGTTTTTTTGAAAAGTAAGTGCATCTAGAGAAATGAACACAGAGATATACTCACGGAAGTTTCTGTGAAATATGGTGGGTTGTCGTTTTCATCCTCAAGTGAAATGGTAACTGTTCCAGTAGTGAATAAACCAAAAGGCTGCCCACCCATGTCTCGCACTTCCATTACTAACTGGTAAGTATCACATTTCTGAAAAAAAAAAAGAAAAGAAGGAAAAGGTCACGTTAATGAAAACTCTATTTCCTGTAACTAACAATTATCATAGCTACAGTTTGTGCTGTGATTATTTTGCAAATATTATTTTAAAATATGCATATATATATATGTATGAGAATTGAACTCAGGGCCTTGGTTTGGTTAAGCGTGTGCTTTTCCACTAAGCTACACACCCAGCCCTAAATGTAATTTGTTGTAAACATGAATACAAAACAAAGAGGCTGGCAAATCAGTAAGCAGAAAGCTGATGTGCCTAACATAACATTTCAAAATGTAAAGCTACTTTATTCACAATTGCTAAAACCTAAGGAAACTAAAGTTCCCCTTAGTTGATAAATGGATAAATAAACTGATACACTGCACAATGGAATATTATTCAGCACAAAAAAATGAGTTATCAAGTCATGACAAAATATGGAAGAAATTGAAATGAAAATAACTAGGAGAAAGAACCCAGTCTGAAAAGACTGCATACCACAGGATTGTAGCTACATAACATTCTGAAAAGGTAAAATTATGGAAACAGGAAAGATCAGTGGTTTCCAGGGGCTGGAGGGGATGAACAGATGACTACAAGGAGTGAAAAGGATTTTTAGAACAGCAGAACTACTCAATGACACCATAATGGTAGAAGTACATCATCATCATACTTCTGTCCAAATCCATAGAATGTTCAGCACCAAGACTAAGCTAATACCAACTATGGATCTTTGGTGATAACAATATGTCAAAATAGGTTCATTGACAGTCACAAATATACCACTGTGGTGAAGGAAGTCAACAGTGAAGCAGCTGTGCATGTGTGGGACAAGGGTAGAACCCTGTATGTTCTACTCTATCTACTTGTGAACCTAAAACTGCTTCAACAATGCTTATTAATTTTTAAATATTACATATATTTAAGTCAAAATTACTTATTAGAGCAAAAGTAAAATAAATCTAGAGCAATTTTATTCATCAAAATATCAAATCAGTTCAATTAATTACCTCTCTATCCAGTAAAGGTGTGGTTGTAGTAATCACACCTGTATCTGGATGTATGTTGAAGTGCTTTGGATGATCTGGCATTTGCTGTAGGATTTTGAATTTCAGACGAGTATGTAGAGTTCCAGGCTCATCATTGTCTATGGCTGTCACTTGTCCCACTGAAGTTCCTGTTTAGATAAATCCAATATTGTCAAAAATTAAATCATGATACAATTGAATTATAAGCAAAAATAAAATCAATGTATTGCAGTAGCAAATTCTCCCAAAAGCCACAAAAGGATGAGTTTTAAGGTAGATGTGGTAGTACATGCCTGCAATCCTAGCACCTGAGAGGCTAGGTCAGGAGGATTGTGAGTTTGAGGCTACCTGGGCTACAAGATAGCAAGACCCTATCTCAAAACAAACAAAATTGACAAATTTTAAAGATAATCTGAGAATATATTAAATGGTCTACAAAACTTCTCCAAGTCCTGCCTCCCTTGGAACTTCAATTAGGTGGCTACTATGAATAACATGATATGTTTTCTAGGTATAAGAGACCAGTTCCCACCTTATCCATTGTAACAATTGTTCTCTAATTCTTTCTCCCACCTACTATTCCAACTCATGTACTATTTTTAATGGAAACTTTTCTGTATAACTTGTCTCTTTTAGAATTAATAATGTTAATTAGAGGAATAGCACATCTTTTCATGTGATAACAAAGATTTTTTTAATATATGTGCTGGATTAGCAATAAATGCAAGGAATTACTAGTATACACAAACAATAAACATTGTGCACCAGTATAAGTACCATTTAGACAAACTCCATGGCCCAGACATGAGAGTATTAGGAATATTGCTTTAGCAATCCACGGATTGTGAAAGTGATATTATACATTCATACTTACATGATAACAGAATGGGGGAGCCATATGAAAGAACATCTCTCACAAATTTTAAAAACAAACTAAACAATCTTTGTTTATGATCTTTGGTAAGCTAGGTCACAATCTTGGCTTCAGGTGGCATTAAACCAGCCAACAATTTGTTTTCAACTTCTTGGAAGATAAGCCAAGAAAACCAATGTGTATGTTGTTATAAGTCTAGTTAGGATAAAATGTGAACTTACCAGATCGGCAATTTTCAGGAACACTGAAAACAGTCAATTTGTTTTCGAAATATGGAGCATTATCGTTGTCATCTTCGACTTTGAATAACAAGGGGAGTGGATAATCAGGTGCGTAGCCATCTGCAGTTGTTGCATAGCCATAGACCTAAAAGAAAGGAAAGCACCATTGGCTTGTCCCCAAATGACAAATTATGCACACAAGTAAGCTTAGCAGATGGGTAAAATGAGTCACTAAAAAAAAATCCTCAAAAATATCTGTAAGAAAGGATGCAGTAGAGAGGTCATACACAGGCACAGTGCATGACGGCCACATGGCTTCACAACGCCTTCAGGAGTTACTTCTCATTATTCTACCACTAAGTACCATGCACTCCAACCACCATGAACTCCAGGTGTTCTCTGAATTACCTGCATACTGCTCTACTAGTTAAAATGCATATAGACTTTCTCCATTGTACTAGTAACAAGCATTTTTTTAAAGTTTATGAAAACACAATTCTATTTATTTATAAATTTATATATATGTAAATATGTATCACAAATATCTCCAAGTGATGTATCTTCATGTATTTTCTCATCTTTCTACCATAAACATGTATTTCTTTCTTTAAAATGCTAGTAAAAGCATATATATGTATATGTGTGTATGTATATTTCATCTCAAAATGATCTTGGTCCCACTGCCAGGATATAATGTCTTTCCCCTTTGAATTCCATCAAATTATTTTTGCATTCTTCTTACGTGTTTTGTACACAGTAAGTGTTCAATAAATAGTTGTTGAGTTAGATAAACTGTCTTCACTTGACAGACCCAAGTAAACCTGCTCAAAGTGAGCTCTGTATTGACTCAGTTCTTTACAAGAATTCTTCCTGATTTTCCTACTGCAATTATTTCTAGAGTGGACTATGACTAAAATCCCAAGTATCAAACTCTTCTTTTTCCCTTATTAGCCTTACTAGTCAGTTTCCAAGTTCTAGAGATTATGGCATTTTTTGTGTCTCTGTCATCAGTCTTCTCTTTTCTATTCTCACTGACATTGTCCTATGTGACTCCAGATGGGTCCTACATGTAACTTTACAAACTTTCCTAAAGTTGTCCAAACTGACCTTCTCTTCTACTCAGACAGTGTCAGAAGTCAGATTTTATTTTCAAAAAGCACAATTTTAATCAGATATTTCAGTGACTTACATGTCCCCTACTAAAGTAAACACAAAATTCTCACTATTATGTTAAAAGCATTTAACTGTTCATGTTAACCCTCCAAGGGAAGGAATTTACACCCCAACCTAGGATAAAAATATATTAAAATAGCAATTCATCTTCTCCCTGCCCCTTTATTCACTTTTCCCTAAACAACACCAGGTGAACTTTTCATTAATAAAATATATGTTTTGATTTCTATCATTTTGTTCTCTTTATCTTATTTCTCAATAAATTTCCAAACCCAGAAATGGAATATGGGAACATACAATTGCCACTTCCCTACCCCCACCTCATCAATCACCACCACCAACAACAACACCACTATGCACCTTCATCACCACATCTAGGACATCCAGATGTCATACTATTCAGCCTTCCATCCACTTCCTCCCTTTCTTCCCATACAGATCATGTGAATTTTTCTTTGTAAAATGCTGCCATGTTGAGACTTGGGACTAAAGAAAAGTATAAATTGTTCTATATCTCTATTAGATTACAATTCTCCTCAGGCATGAAGCTTTATACATGCTGGTATTTGAGTCCCTGAAGTGCCTAACCCAGTAACTCAGCACCTTTCATTGGGTAAGTTCGTAACAAATAACTTTTCCATTTAATTCCAGCCAGATCTTTCCCTTTTAGGAAGACAAACTATCCCTTAAGTTTACTCTATAAAAATTGTACCTCTTGTAATGAACTCTTCTACCTCATTCTAACAGCACTAGGATGCTGTCTTGCTATCATTTGCCAAAATTTTGCTAGTTTTTCTCTTCAGAAGAAATGAATATCATCTGCTTCCCATCATATGATCACTTGTAGTTTGAAATAGTAATATTTCTTGATATTTGACTACAAATAAGTATAATTTCCATGCCACTGACTCAGATGTAACAATTTTGTTTCAGGTACTATTCTGGTTTTACCTTTCTCTCATAATGATCCAAGTATCTCCAAAGTATATCATAAATGAAACCACTATTGCAAATAGGATGATCTACTCTAAGAGAGTAGGTAACCATTAAAGCATAGCCCAGCACTCTAGAAGAATCCACTCATGTTCATGTGAGAGAGAAAGTAATCATAAATATTTTCTTATTTAGACATTACAGTAACACATTCAAAAAACTGAAGAAAAGTAATGGTTTTGCACACCAGATCTCACTGCTCTATAATAAAAGTGACAATAATAGACTGAAATGTCAGTATAATAAGACTAATAACGAATATTGTTAGTCATGATTTCAGCCCATTAGAAGGATGTTATTTAAATATCGTGGGTATATTATTATGATATCCTTTCCCCCTTTGAATTCTTTTGGATGCTGAAGAAACTCATCTCTTTTAGTCCTGCTGTATTTTGCTAAAATTGCTGTCATCTTTGGGAAAATGCAGACAGCTGTCGATACAAGTTGGAATTTGAGGTTGGTCTTGCAGTAAGAGCAACCAGAGTAGACTGGGCAGAGAAGGCGAGAATAGCAATGCCAAAGCTGAACAGGTACAGAATGTGAATTAGCAACACATATATGAAGACAATGGATAGATCAGTGTGTCTGAAAAAGCAAATAAACATTACTTCATAGTGGAATCCTGGTTGAATAGTTAAGAAGAGACCAGATTAATGTAGATTTTCCCAAAAGTATAGATTCTCACCAACTCAGAAAGAAAGTGTTTGCATCTGCTTTCTTTCATAGGATAGTTTATAATTGTTGAAGAAAGCATTTTTCTTGTGCAATTGCTGTTTCAGAAACTTGGAGAATTTGCGTTGTATGAATCTCTGCAAAATTAGATCAATGGTTTAAGGCAAACTTCCCAAATTGCGATAATGGAATGAGTTGCCCAGGAAAATTTCCATGAGCTAAGATTAAACAACACAACATGAGGCAAGAGAGAACAGGAACATAGTAAGACTATGTATTGACCAGCTCCATGGCTGCTGCTCTCAGTAACTGATTAAATATATTATTAAAACTTCACAATTATATAAATTAAATAAAAGCAAAGAATTGGGTAATTCCATCAAAATCCCCAGGACAAAATTCTGGAGGATGAATGTTGTGTGCTTCACCATGAGCATATCTTTAAAGAGTTTTACAGTTTTATACTTGAGCCATGCCCCCAAGCCCTCTTGTTCAGATTACTGTTTTTGAGGTAGAATCTAACTAACTTTGCCTAGGCTGGCCTCAAAATCATGATCCTTCTACCTCTGCATCCCAAGTAGCTAGGATTGCAGGCATGTATCACCATGCCTGGGTTACTTCTTGTTGCTATGCTTCACTTAATAAATTTTGCTATTTTTCAAGTCCTGCTTCTTAATGCCAATTCAGTCTTGACTTTGTTAACAGGCATTAGAAAAACATGGATAATTCTTATGGGTAAATTGCTTAAAAGCCTAACTTTGAGCATAAGTTCCAAACTATGTTACTCACTTGTCCCTTAAAAATGTTAAAAATAGCAAAGTAGTTTACTTTTAGTTTTAAAATATTCTCCCATTCCTCCTGGAAAATGACTACCATAAGAGACAAGGATAAACTGAAGGTTGAAAAATAAGAACCTATCAGGTCACCTCACAGCAGAATGGATAATGAAATGAATATTGCAACATATAGAGTGACTTTTAGAGTTACATCTTTGCTTCTTGTGAAGGAGCTGTAAAAGCAGCAAGGAACCTACATACTCTATCAATTATTTATTTTGCTTATGGACAAAAAGGTAAAAATTGTTCCAGTGGGGCTGGAGGTATAGCTCAGTGCTAGAGCATGTGGTGAGCATCCATAAGGTCCTTGGTTCTATCCCCAGCATCAAAAACTAAAAATAAAAAATAAATGGTTGCAATGGCTTTGCTTACCTCTTCTGGAAGAGCTGAGGTAAACTATTTTTTAAGTAACAATTTTATACTATTAGGAGTAAAATGTTTCTAAGCTAGAGAATTAGGGAGGGAGCATAAATTTATAAAGAAAATATGTCATAACAATCTCCACTATTGTACTTGATTATAAAATATACAGAATGAAAATTTTGCATTGTTTTAAAACTTATGCTACCTTATACCATACTTTGGCAAACGTTCTAGGAGAGGTCCCGGTGTCTCCTTTGTATGAATGATAAGGTCTTTATTGTTCTAGTCTTCACTAATGGCTTTGTAGTTCACATTCTTCCTTAAAGTCAGACTATACTCTAGTCAGGGTTAACCGTTGTCATTTCTTTTTAACAAGTAGATCTTTCTATTGTGGATGTGCCTTCCTGGAGGATTTAGCTCTTCTCCTCCTTCCCCACCCTCACAATTGTTAATTTCTTTCAGAGTTGACTTTTATGTGGCCACAATTTCCTGTTCAACTTTCAGATGTCTGCTAAAAAAATACTGTCTGGATTGCCCACTTATCAAATAAGTTTCTTTTTTATAAATTCCTTCAGCAAAGAGCTTCTTTACTACCACCTTCACTCATAATTCAGGACAATAAAAGTTTAACCAGTATCATTCACCATCACCCCAACAGAGTTTCTCTGGTCCTTCAGATTAGAGTCAGAACACTGACGAGAGATATGAAATTTGAAACAAAGAAATGATTGATTTTCAGAAGAGATGGAATTTGTCTTTGGGTAGGATAAGAGAGTAAGATTGATTGGTAAAGTTGTTCTGTATTACTAAGAAAATAATATTGTAACCAATGAAGGAGAGAGAGAGAGAGAGAGAGGAGAAAAGAAGCAAATGGGCTGAAGCAGTGGATCCAGCCACAGTATATATACATTTTGAATCACCTCAGGTGACTAGGCCCCAGCACAAAACAATTAAGTCAGAATTTCTGGACATGGTCCCAAGTATCAATTTGTTTGGTTTTTTATTTGTTTACTTTTAATTCTCATGTGATTTACAAAACACAGCCGTGGTTGAGCATAATTAAGGTATCTTATTATAGAGAATTCTTTTTTTTTTTTTTTGAGGCAGGGTCTCAACATGTAGCCCAGGCTGTCCTTGAACGCATGACCCTTCTGACTCAGGCTCCAGAGTGCTGGGATTACAGGCATGCACCACCACGCCTTGATATACAGAACTCTGAGCTCAATAAAATACTTTGCTGCTTCTCCAGAATTCCACAGATCAAAATCTGTCCTTTAAAATTCTGTCATTGTATTTTTCTATACTTTTCACAAGGTTTATTTCCCTGGTTAGTTATTTCCCATTGCTTTAGCAATAGCACCAATAAAAATTTGAAGTTTACATTGAATATTAATAACATTTCAAATATTAGATCAAATATTTGAGTCTTACTATGTAAAAAAGCAACACTGAAAATATTAATAAGCCAATAATAATAAAGATGTAATTATAAGTAAATATTTCAGCAATCCTACCAAAAACTGATCGTACTGCTCACGGTCAATGCTTCTTGTGCAATAAATATCCCCAGTGTCTTTCTCTATGTAGAACAAATTGAAGGGCTCTTTGTCCACTCCTGGTCCACTTATGGAGTAAAAGATGGTGTAATTCTGAGCAGCATCTGACTGGATCTATAACAACAAGTCACAATTAGGAGCAAAGCAAATGTGTCATAGTCAATGTCTTCATTGTGATAAACTGTGATAGTTTATTTTTATCCCTTGTTCTCTTTCTTACTAGTCTTTCTTTCTTCTGCTTATATAACCATCATCTCCTAGGTTTTCCAAATTGCTAGTTCCATCCATTCTGCAAAGCTACAGGTTGTGTTACTTGCTTGATTCTAAATTATTTATTATCTGCGGAGTTATAAAAATTGTGGAGTAATATGCATTTACAATTCTTATTCACAGATTCTTATTCCTATATAAAGTATACTAATGCTTTCAGTGATTCTGAGTTATTTGGAATTTAAAAATGTCTGATTAAAAAAGTATTCTGGAAGTAATACAACTTTTCTTGCCCAATTAATTCAGAAACTTCATCATTCCAAAACTGTCCTATGCTTGCATTCTAATTATGTGGCAGTGAGACAATGTGACTTAGTAAACAGAAAAGTGACCATTTTTAGAAGATAAATGTTAATTTAAATAGTTGAGTTATGCAAAATCCATAGGCATACCCTTTGCAGATGGGTGCTACAAAATCTTTCATAGTATTTAGGTGAATTTGGATGCAAACATATGGAAATAAGAAATCCAAAATGTCTTTAACGTGATTTCTGGCAGAAAGCAATAAAATATATTGGGTCACTTCAATGTGACCCTAGTTCTGGTGAATAAGCAATCCAATTATTACCAATAATTTAAAGCCCTGGTTCAATATATTATGCAATTTTCAAATGGACAATTTCAACAACCAAAAAACTTTCCACATATGAAATCAAATAAGATGAAACATACCTGCTGAACGTGCTGTGGAAATGGACCTAATGAGTTTTCCATCAGAGAACATGGAATAGGAGCCCATCTTCTCTTACTGCGCTTGAGGATGGAGTCCTTGATATGTCTCTTCCTAGGAGCCTACATTTGATAAGAAACAAAGAAATATAACATTCTTTACCAATCTTGGAATTGAGATTTTTACGTATACATCAATATGAAGAAAATAAGTCAAGATGACATATAACACTGCCATGGATAGCCTCCAAAGCATTTCTATTTTTTAATAGTAACAAACACAACAATAAAAACAAAATTAGACCTCAGACTGCATTATATTCCCTAGAACCATATATTTCCTGATTCAATCAGGTAACTATCAGAAATCTATAGAGCATTAGAATAGATGTCACCTTAAGATGCTACAGACCCTCTTAAAAAATAGATAATCCATTAACAAATATTTAAAATTGATTTTATTTCATAATGAATGGTACCACCAAAATCTTTGGAAACCCTGTCTATAGTGCAAAAGACACAGGGCACCATTTGTTCAAGTATATTTTATTTCATGCAATGTGGAGCTACTTCACAATTTACATTTTTTAAAAACATGTTTTTTAAGGCTTAAGCATATTTTGAATTCATTGAAAATAAATACTTATAATCAGAAGGAATTTAGCTGGGAAATCCTCTTAAAAGTGAATCACTTACTGATAAATGATTTTATAAGACCAAAGTGTCATTGTCCTAAGTTTACTTCAAGTGAGATATGAATTTCAGCACCCTTCTGCCTTCTTATGCCCAAGACTGATCACCACCATTCATTACAAAACAGTGAAAACATTCAAATCCATCCAGTGGACTGGCCACAACTTCATTGCCTGAAGAGAGACCCCATGGACTTTTCTGATAAGATAGGAACAGATTTTTGGCAATCTCTTTCCCCATTTAAAGAGACACAAATCCACAGTCACCTGGAAATAACCACACAGGGGGTGTCACATCTCTAACCATGTTCATTTTCTGTGAGTTTGAGACCTGACCCAGTCTTGTCCTTGTTCTTCATGTTGGTTGTTCTGACTGCCACACCTCAAAATACTATCTGAAACCTTTGATAGTCTGACTTTGCTCCCTGGCTCAGAGTCATTCAACATTACACAACTGTATAAATACCTCTACTCCTCAACAGTCTAGGCTTCATTTCTGTTCGTTATAAGTAGAAAAAGCAAACATGATCATTCAAGGACAATTTAACCTGAAAAAAAGCCTATGAAATGAACTACTCCTAAGAATATTACTATACAAGGCTACTTAAATCTTGCCTGGTATACCTTTTTTTCTTTTGCTGACAGTACAATTTCTATCTCTTTTTGTTCCTGCGTCTGACTGTCAGAGAGTAAAACAGAAAAACTCTTCCTTTCAGAAGACAAAAGCAGGTCATGTGTTGTGTAAATGGAACCATCTTCTAGAATTCTAAAGGCTGGGTCGCTGGACTGGATTAGGCTGGGCAACCTGAGACACTCCTCCAGATTCACTGCAGGGAAGAAATTTCACAGCATTTGTCAGATGAAACAGGCACAGAACAAGTTTTACGGGAAAGGCAACTGCTAGTGAGTGCAGGAGACAGAGGAAGGCGGTTACACTTGGGCCCCTGCTGTCTAAAAGATGAAAATTAAGTAATTAAATTATTGGAGTCATTTTTCCCATTAATTTCTCATGAATTAAGAAACTGTTTGCCCAGTGTCATTGGATTTAGTCTATTTCCATTTTGCCTATTATTCATGCATTTGTGAGTATGTATATATGTGCGTATTGATATATCTGTGTATACACATACAACCCACATATATACACACACAGATGTTCCTCAACTTACAATGGTTTAATTTTATGATAACAGCGATATGCATTCAGTAGACACTGTGCTTTGAATTTTGAATTTTAATTTCGACCTTTTCTTAGTCTAGTAAATGTGATAGGGTCCTCTTTCTGCATGCTGGGCCGTGACAGTGAGCTGCAGGTCCTAGTAAGCATTGTGATTAGAAGGGGAAACAACTGAAACTCTACAGTGGATTGTGTTCCTAAGCTACTATGTTTGGTAGGTTAGTGTATTAAATGCATTTCCACTTAAAATGTTTTCAACTATAATGAGTTTATCAGGATGTGACCCCATTGTAAATCCAAGACCACCTAGAGATCTATAGATACAAATGGATGGGTGGATGGCTAGATAGGTAGACGGACAGAAATGCACATTTATAGCCACCAAGAAATTTGTTGTTTTATGTCAGACTGTTGATTTATCAATAAATTATTGCTTTCTATCACCTGTTATAATTATATGACATCTATAGATTGTGGATTTATTTGCATTAAGTCTTTTGTAGTTAAGACTATTGCAACAGTAAGAAAGCTGGCTTATTCTTAAGCAATATTTCTTAATAGTATTGCAAGCAATCTTTGCAAAACATCTTTTTGATGTTAATAAACTCAATGCCTAATAAGTATTGATGATCTTGATAGTAAGATTCATTGAAATTTTATTTGACTTTCACAAGCTATTCTGTGAAATAGGTCATATAAATTCTTGGTGAACACTGTTCATTGTTACCAAACTTGAGTACAAATCTTATTTAGATTAAATTTTGACACATTTATTTCACATCTAATCAAGTAAAGAAACAGCATTAGAATTTTGACAACAGAGTAGTTAATGTGAATTAAAATATGTATCTAGCCTTGATGCTTTGCTTTGTATGAGCTAAGATAATTTGCTCATTTTTCTGGCAAGAAAAGTATGTAACTAACTTTGGTATCCTAATTATTTTTAACTGCCCCCAGAAAACAAGTATCCTATCTTTCATTGGAGGGCCAATTTTAATGGCAGATCACTACCATATGGCTTTTATCCCAAACCTTACAGGAGCAGCCTGAAGCAAATAGTGACAAGTTGTAACTATTAAATTCTCGACACATTTCTCACCTTTGCCTACAAGCGTTTGAGCCTGAAGATGAGCGGGAACATGAAGAGAAACTTTCTCACAAGCATCACAAAATAATTCCAGAACCTCAAAATGAAGAAAAAATCAGGAATTATATTTGATCATGCATTTTCACATTACAGTTTTGTCTTCTTGATAAAAAACATTGTCAATTTTGGAAACAAATTGACTTTTTAAGTTTCAACTTTTCCGTATTTTACAAGTTATTGACAAAAACGTGGCTTTAGGGACACCATAGACATTTAGTATCTACGAAAAACAAGTGAATCATTTTTAGAATCTATCATCATATTGTATAATTGCAAGAAAGTGTGTTGTAACCCACTGAATTTATATAGAATCTACTATTACTTCTAAGACTATTAATACGTGCTGTTCTGATGAGCCTGAAGAAAGTACTTAACTGTAGCATTCAATGGTCACATATTTGTACCAATTCTCCAACCATCATGTTCACTATTTGAAGGTGAAGTAAGAAAAAACATGAGGCCTTTTTTAACCTCATAAAAAATAATACCCACAGACAGTCACTGTTCTCAAATCACTTTTCTTAAACAGAAATATCTCTCAAAATATAAAGATGAATCTTCAAATGGGTAAAAAATTTTAATTAAATTCAAGACACAACTACTGTTCTAAAAGACTAGGTAGTGCAAAGAAAACATATTATCTGAAAAATAAAAGTTACCAGTTCCAGGCCTCTATAAGTTCAAAACATATTTTTCTTCTTTTGTTGTCTAGCAAAATGACTACATCTTAATCATTTAAATATAAAACAAATCACAGCTAGATTTCCCAAAACTACATAGGTCTATTTTATCATAAGTGTTTCTCTGACAACATATTTCCAGAATTATTGTGCAGAGGAAAGCAAAGGGATTAACATTCATGTTACGAATATATGCCTCTTTTCTAACTCAGCTCAAGTACATTGGACATATTGGTAACAGCCTATTTAAACAAATTGTAATTTTACAAATATGTTAGGCAGATAATATGACAATTTGAAATTTTAAGAGTCACATTTTAATTTAATTTAACTTAAATACTCACTTATTAAAATACGACATTCTTTTTTATTTGATATTTTAAATATGTTCATCTCTAATGTCAAGAAATGCACTAAATTATATCTAAAGAACTTTCTGAGGATTAAGCCTTCCACTAGTAGTGGTCTAAATATACACTGTGGGAAAAAACACATTCTAATCAGAAATATATGTGTACATGCATATATGCACACTTACATATGAATATGCTTATACATATACCTAACGTGTATGCATGTATATGTGTGTTTGTATGTGTATGTATGTCATACAATATATCGATGTTCCCACTCCCACCCTCATCTTCTCTCCTTCCTGTCCCAGGTCCCCACCTTTATGATGCCCCTCACAGGCAGAGCCAATGGAGGCTTTCAGGCTTCACTTAAATCAGTACTAAGTAATTTGAAAAGAGTTGTGATCAGTAACCCTTTTAGTCAGAATGGAGGTCAAGGATGAATGGGTATTGGATAAATCAAAGGACACTGGGCAGAGCAGGGATGAAAACCAAAAGAAATCTGCAAGGACTCCCTGGAAAAACATTTTACCTGAGTAATGCTAACTCAAGGTGGTCTCTGAGTTCTCTTCTCCCCCATCAGTTATAGGATGGGAAATTGACCATCAAACCTACATTGTATTTATATGGAGAAAGTACCCCCATGTAGTAAAACCTTCAAATTCTGAAAACATAATTTAAAACTAAAATATTTTGGTAAAATGGAAAAAAAAAGAATTTCATGGTTCTTCTCTTCCCATCAAACAAAAACTAGCATCTTATCCACAGTTGCAAAGCTATTGAGAATCCAAGTGGAAATCAAGTAAATGGCATTTTCAATGCTGTCACATTTTGCTTTATTATTTTCCTTGAGTCAAAATGCTTGCTTCAACTAAGAAATCTGCCCATCTCTTAGCTTTTTCTGCATAAATTAAGAAAGTCTTCAATAATTCCTATACTCACCAAGAATTCTTTTCCTTTTCTTGTGGCTCAGTGGAATGAAACATGTTAAACACATGAGATATTTAATGACTAGTAACTAAACAAATCTCAGAACCTTCTGGGCCTAATGCCAAAGGACTGAATTTATTCCACTATTCCTGAGAAACACACAACAGCAAGACTGAACATGGCATTCCCTTGCAAAGCCTTACCATGTTGGTGACAGGCACTTGAAGAGTTAGCTAAACCCTCCCCAACCTGGATTACAAGGCTCTCAACTCTTTCCTTAAATTTTCTCAGATCTGCTTTTGTTTTCACAGTCTATGTGCCCTGCCTTGCTCCCTTTCCAATTCCACCCCCCACTTCTCTCTTTCAAGCCCAAACTGGAGGGAGGAAGCGGGTAGTGACATGCTTGATTCCCTAATCCTTTGGATGTTACTCACCAGGAGAGAGAAAAGGAGCTGCTTACAGAAGATGCTCCCTGGGGCAGCGGAGTCCACAGCCATCAGAAGTGGTCCCAATGGCCAGGGATGGTGACCAGATAATGGGGTGACCTGAGATGTACAGGGCAACTAAGCAGAGCCTGGAACTTGTCAGGATGTTCTGTGGCTACCTTGGCACAGCTGAGATGGCTTTGGAAGAAGGTCAAGAAGCAAGTGATAAACAGGAGGAGGAGCAACAGAATTGCTTTCCTCCTATTCTCTGGCCAGTTCCTCCTTCCAATCCAGTTACCTCTGAATGTAAAGAGGATTTCCTACAAGTGGGAAGAGTGAGGTCTAGAGCACCCCAAATCCAGCCACTAGCTCCTCCTCATAGCACCTTTCAAAATTTCTCCTGTCACTTAACACATAAGCAAAAGCAGAAGGGAACACCCTCCATCCTCAGCCCTCCTCCCTTTCCCCCCAGGTTGATACTATGAAGTTCTCCCCAGTTATTATGCACTCCCACGGCCTCCCCTCCTTCTTGGCCTTATTAACCTGCCTTGCCCCCAGGTATAAACATAAATTGTGCATGAACTCCATGCAAGGAAGTGATGCCTTCTTGGGTGCCATTGGCAAATCGGAGGGCATGAACATGCACACAGATCACACCCATCAGGAGTTATCTCCCCATCTGAGCATCTAGGTGTAGTCTGTCCCATAGAGCACTGTAGCTTTGCCACAGATCTGGCATTCCGGTTTACAGCAGCAACTTCACAGGTGCATTGTGTCTACTCCCTATTATTTTCTGTCTACTGGGGTTTAGTCCTCTAGACAACCCAAGGAAATTCCCAACATATATCGATCTCATAAAAGTAAAATAATAAAGAAATAGCTGGGATGCAATTTTTTTATTGCTTTCTTTTTGTTACACATAAAGCCGTATTTTTTATTGTTATCTTGTTTTTTCCCTAGGACAACTACAATCTATGAGACCAAATCTCATTAAAATCACTCCATTCTCCCTAATTATAATTGTGCATGGCAGGTAATATCCTGGATATTCTAGATGGCACAATAATGCCATCATGTTTAGGTTTTGTAAACACTAATGACTCTTACAATGGGGACTTTAGCATCATTTTTCCTGTCACACTCCCCCTGAGCTCAGTGATATCAGTAGGACTTGATGTAGGTGATGATGAAGTTGGGGGAGGAGGATAAGTGTTTTCAAATGTTAATTGCTGAATTTCAGGTGTATAAAGAGAACTAAAGTGCATACTTACTGGGCCATTGCTACAAACCCAGAGCCAGAACAGGCATTGCAGGAAATCTTCCCAACAGTCCAACGAGGGCTCCTTTCAGGAGACAATAGAACGATAGGAGAGAGAAAACTGTTTCTTGGTTCATGGGTGGAAAATAGAGAAGTAGACGTTTGAACCCAGGTCTGTCTGCCAGCAAAACACTGCTCATTTTCATTTTTGTCTGCATGTTTGTTTGCCTAGCTTGTGGAAGCCACCTAAAAATATTCAGACAGATTAATTCAGTTTTAAAGGATTATATGCTAGGAGAGCAGCACCATTCAGGGAGAAAATAAGATTAAAATCTTGGCTGGGTGCTGGTGACTCCTACCTGTAATCCTAAACTACTCAGGGAACAAAGATCAGGAGGATCATGGTTCAAGGCCAGTCTGGGTAAAACGTGAGACTCTATCACGAAAATATCTAACACACACACACACACACACACACACACACACACAATGGTTGGGGGACTGGCAGAGTGGCTGAAGTGGTAGAACACCTGCCTAGCAAGCACGAGGCCTTGAGTTCAAACCCTAGTACTGTCAAAAAAAAAATGAAGATTAAAAATCTTACAGTGTTAAAAACTATACTTTTGGGTGAAGAACACAAAAGAAGTTCAGAAGATAGAATAGAACAAGGCACTACAGCAAATATTAAATATCTTAGCATTTAAGAGAGAAATTAGTAACAGATATTAGGTCCTTAGTTCACACTTAAGTAGCAGAGTTTATTTTAAATATATAAATATTGCATAATCTGTTATCTACCACAAATTTAGGGTCATAAAAAGAAAGATTTAAGTATAAAGACCCACATGATCCAAATAGTTCTTTAATCTTTAGCTTAAGGTTCATCAAGAAAATGCACCTTTAGCATGGTACCAGTGGCTCATACCTGTAATTCTAGTTACTCAGAAGGCAGACATCAGGAGGAGCACAGTTCGAGACCAGCCCAGGCAAAAAATAATAGATCCCTATCTCAGCCAATAGCTGGGCATGGCAGCACCTGCCTGTCATCCCATCTACAGTCAGAAGTATAAATAAGAGAATTATAGTCTAGGCCTGTCAAGGCAAAAACAGAGACCCTATCTCAAAAATAACCAGAGCAATAAAGGGCTGGAAGTGTGGCTCAAGCAGAAAAGCACCAAACAGCAAGATTGAACCCTAAATTCAAACTCCAATATTGCCAAAAAAAAGTATACCTTTAAAGAATTTAAAGAATGGGCCTGGTACAGTAGCTCATGCCTATAATTCCAGCTACTTGGGACGTGGAAAATAGGAAGATCATAGCCCAGCCACCCCAGGCAACAGTCCACCCTATCTAAAAAATAACTAAAACAAAGAAGGGCTGGGGGTATGGCTGAATTGGTGGAGTACCTGTCTGGTAAGTGCAAGACCTTGAGTTCAAACCCCAGTACTGCCAAAAAAATAAGAATGTGCTCATGGATATACAGTGACAAATTTCACAGGAATTGGTTGTGCATGGCTATCTTGCAGGAAGGAAAGGCCTTAAAACAGTCATTTACAGACAGAACTATTATCTCTGTCATGTGACCCAATTTAGTCTAGAACACTAAATTGCTAAGAACACTGTATGCATTGTTGAAGCCATGACAAGGCATTTTGAGTTAAATACACATGACTGAAAGAAACCTGACTACAGGGGTAAAAATAGAGTCCAACCTTATGTGAGAAAAAAAAAATCTATGAACAAAGGGAAAAGGAAATCTTAGCTGTGCAAAGCAATATTTTAGGTTCTGTGAGCTCAATACACTACAAAGGAAAGCCCTTTCAATTCCACTGGACTCACAGACTTTATCTGAGTAAAAGGTTATTAAAAATTAGAAGTTAAAATATGTGCTCTAAAGTTAGTAGTCATATTTCTTAAGTTTCCACACATGACTACTCCCCCTTATTGTCAAAGTTGTTGACAGACCTATGAAAAGAAATGTCAGGGACACATCTCTGGATAATTTTGAACCCTATTCAGCACACACTTAACTCAAACTAGCTTAACAGAAACAAAACAAAATTGTTGAGGATGATGATTTGTTATGTCACATAACTGAATTTGAAGGGGTGGCCTAGATTCAGGAATAGGTTCTCTCCATCTCTTTGCTCAGACCCCTTGAGTTTGTTTCATGATCAAATATGGCCACCAGAACTTCCAAGTTCCTATTGGTCTGACTATTCATTGTTGAGTGGGCATGACTTGTTCCCAACTGTTTGAGCAAAACACAATTCTTCTGTCCTGAATTGCAAATATTGTATAAAAGGGCAAAAGTGGTGAAGTGAGTGCCCCAATATGACTCTGTGAGACACACAGAAAAAAGAGAAATAGTGGCTGAACAGGCAAGTCAACAGATTTCCTTTAAAAATGTCCTTTCTTTATTGCAATTTCAATGATGTCAGTCAATTATCCATTACTTATTAATACCTTCCATCTTATAAGCATTGTCCATGTTGCTGACAGTACAAAACTGAAGGCATCATCTCTGTCTCCATAGAATTTATAACTTTACACATTTTGGAAATTAGCTAAAATTATTCCTATGATGGTCAGAATTAAGATCCTGGTGAAATGAGCAAAACAAATATTGTCTACTTGTATTCATTTCTTGGTACTGCCAATTCTTATTTTTTTTTATGTCTTTCAAAGTTGAATAATTTAAAAGTGTTTTTCAATATGCATGGAATCTTCCTACTGACAATTTATCTTGTATATTAAGAATCACATTATTAAATGTTGACTTTTAAATATGAGAATATATGCCTAGCACCCCAATTTTGTTAAGATAGAAAACCAGGAAACTTCACCCATGATCTGAAGGTAATCTTTTGGGCTGGCAGAGTGGCTCAAGGGATAGAGTAACTGCCTAGCGAACATGAAGCCCTGAGTTCAAATCCCAGTGCTACCAAAAAATAATAAGGAAGGTAAACTTTCAATGTATATCTTTCCAGTCTAGTTTCTGTGTATAGAATTTTATACACATTGTTATACTTGTGCTTTGAATGAAATTTTTAGCATGCTTTTCCCTTTAAAAATATAAAATCTATTAAGTCATAAATGTAATGACATTTATCCTATGTCATAACAAGCTCTATGTATTCATCATGTTTATAACTATAATAAATTCCTTTAAATAATTGTAAATATTGATTTAACCACCTTCTAACTTTAATCACTTGTTTTCAATTTTTCACTATCATAAAAACTGTCTTTATATATAAGCCCTTTTCTGAATTTAGGATTATTTCTCGAAATAGAGTTCCACAAATAGAAGTTCTTGGTCAAAAGATAGCAGATTTAATGGTGACTTAATGACTTTTTATACCAAAAGCCAACTGGAATTACAAAAGCAGAGTACCAATGTCTATTCTTACTGACAGTGAATGCAGTAATAAATGTTGTTGAATTGAATATTACCATTTCACTTAACTGAATGAAAATTACTGTTCATTAAAAATTCCAACTCTTTGATAAGCAAGAAATTCTAATTCTGATTTTAATTGTTTGTCTCACCATGATATTGATGTCAAGTCATTGCATTTCTTTTCATAATGTATATGCACTTTTAATACATTGATACTTGTTTGGAAATATGAGGAAATTACCGCGTTTAAATTAAACAGGATAAGTTAGTCATTTAAACGTCTTCAATGAGGCTTCTTTTGGAGATGACAACACTGTTACTTCTTTTAATAGCTAGCCTTCTTTTGTATCTTTGTTACTGAATCTCTGTGAGAGAAATAGTATTTTTGTCATATATGTCCATTGAAAACCTAATCTTCACTGAGAACCATGATTATTTGCTGAAGTACTATCCATGTCTCTCATCTACAGCTTTATAAGTTGATCTGTGGACTGGATTAAAATGCAGGTATTGTCATTTCTATAGCAAATACAATGCATTCTTAAAGGAACTATTTTCAATTTCTTTGCTATTAAGCTAAAAATAAAATTAATTCTTCAAGGTTCCCGCAGCTGATTTTGTATATAACAAAAATAAATGTCACCAAGTATGGTAACATATTCCTACCATTTTC